AGCTCGCGCTTTTTCTAAACGCTTCCATTGTACCTTTGCTGTTCCACGAAACCCGAGAGCGAGAGAGAGAGAGAAGAAAGTTTTGCGCGACGTGATCGTCAGAGTTCCTGCATGTGGAGAGTTGGATCAGCCACCTCGAATAAAAACAAAGCGAGAAAACTACTCACATGATCCCTCGCACGTCGCCTAATCAAGGAAAGGACCAAAGTCTCCACATTTTCACGTAAGCCCCATGATCCCATGACGGAGGAAATTGTGCTCAATGTTGCATTACGATATAGTGACATATACAAGTAGAAGTGGTGCTGCTGCAATGACACAGCTACAAAACTCGTTTTGTAGAGAAGAAAAAGAAAAAAACGGGACTACTGTCCACAAATGAGATCAGGCCGAAATGAAATCCTCGAGGAAATCAAGCTCTTACGTTTCCTTGCCAAGTCGAGTATGTTAGACGTTAAGGGGTTCTGCTTCCGTTTCATGCTCTTTCTCAGGCCAGGCCTCCACCGGCTCTACAGAAATAACGATCATCAACCAGAGAGCTTACGGATTAGATGTGAATGACTTACTGGTTTTCGCCTTGTCCTTCTCGGACACAACCATCAGCCTGTTCTGAAGAACCGCAGCCATCACAAGGAAAATGGAACACATTCCAAACATGAAGGTGATCGGGAATGCGCTCACCTGAAAGTAGCGACAACTAAGATATCAAAACACGGGAGAAGTTAAACCTTGAGAAAGAAACTTACGTTGTAAAGCACCACGCAGACGAAGATGTTAAGAGGAATCCGGAAGAAGTTCATGATTGTACTCCTGGATTCCTCTGGAATGTATTGAGAGCGCATCTTCATGATCGAGGGCCAAAAAATTCCAACGCAGGCTTCAAAAACACAGAAGCCGAGCATCTGAATTCGGCCGCTTGTGCTGATAGAGTCGGTAGCTTCTCCAGCCGATTCTGTCATAAACTGATCAACAATGTCAGTAACGTCAACCGGAGCATACATATAAACACTCACACCAACGAGAACTGGGAGAAAGAGAGCTGCCGCAGAAACTAAGAACACTATCTGCATGTATCCTTCCACACGACCGCGAGCCATGAGCTTGGAAGTGAGCGAACTCCCAAACATAGACGCCAGCATGAACGTGGCGAAGATGAAGCCATGCGGAATCTCCTGATCGTTAGGACTCAATGCAGGCGTCCAGAGGAAGACGAAAGTGTACATGGAGCCCTCGAAGAGAGATTGGATTGCTCCTAGGAGAGCAATCTTTTCATCTACATAGAATCCAAAGATAAGGCTCTCGCTTGCATTAAAGACATGAAAAGCTTACCAGAGGCGATAGCAGACCCGGCGACTTTGAACTGCGTCAAAAGCGTCTTGCTTTCGGTAGGATCTCCGTAGTTCTCAGCCCACGTAAACATGATAACCGCCATGCCGATCGCTAGCACGCAGGATGCGGCATCAAAAGGAGCAACAGGTCCCAAGTTGAGAGATCCGACGAGACTGTTGGCAACCAGCCCCGAGAGTATGGCTACCAATCCGTTCCCAAGAAAGATTGCTTTAGAAAACGTCATCGACAGCCACTGTTCCTCGAATCCTCTCTAAAAAATCACAGAGAAGTTAAAGAAGAAAGTTGTCAGACAATCCAACGTACTGACAAATCCACAAACCTTAAAGTGCTCAGCAACTAGCCACGACTCAAATGCCGAGAACAGGAGCGAGGTAGCAATTCCACCAAGAATTCTTCCCACCATGAGAACTTGGAACTGAGGAGAGTGTTTGGTGAAGCAGCTCAAAATGTAGGTGATGCAGTACGTTATGCTAGCTCGCTTCCGGCCACTGCGCATAGAAACAGCGTGAATTCCAATTCTAATCCAAACCAAGAAGCTTACTATTTGTCCGCGAGAGATCCCACAATCGTCCCAAACAGCATGGAAGATCCAAAGCCAGCGATGAAGAGCCGCCCAATATCCCCCTTCTGGAAGCCATAGTGGCTGTAGAGGAAGTAAACGTATGGTCCCTGGAGCCAATCTCCCGCTGGGGGAGAGGAAGAAAGAGGGAAGAGAGTTAAGATCTAGAGATCCGAGTACGCATTTGGCGAGATCTAGGAGCTGGAAGCACGCAATGCGGGCGAAATCGAGAAAGAACTCACCCATCATGAGCGAGTAGACCACCAGGTAATTGTTCTTGAAGGCATTGAAGGCCGATGTCGCGACGATCCGGTCCTTGCTGCCACGGCGAAACTCGAGTGCCGCCACGGCGAGGAGCTGGACCGCGAAGACGACGAGATAGAATGTCTCCATGGCCGCTCTCCTCCTCGCTCGCTGCGTCGCTCTCTGCGCCCTCAAACCCTAGCGTCCTACCCGCGTAATCACGCGAAGAGCAATGGTTTCTTTTTACCAGCCTAGGTGAAATCTCTTACCAGATTAACCCACAAAGTATATTCTGTCAATTGATTTAATGGTAAAAAACAAGATACCTTTATTCTTTGCACACGTGTCACATTTAATTTTGGAGGCTTGCGCGGGAAGCTTTCTCGAGAAAGGGGAAAGAAAGAAAGAATTTAGGGTTCTATGCTCACAAAATATTTCCCAAATGGTCGATCGAAAGGAGCGCTCACGCAAGAAGCCGCAGGAAGCTTTGCGTGTGGAGGAAGCATCGATGATCGCCTCCCGAGCTCCATCTCCGTGCAAGGAATCGGTGAGGTAGCGCTTCCAATATCGCTCGACGACGCATTTAGGCTCCAGGAAGCGGCCGAGCAGGCGCCGCATGGGCTTGGGAATCGGACTCTGGTCGACACGGCTGTGCGAAGAGCTTGGCAGATCGATGGTAGCAAAGGCTTGTCGTATTTTTCCACGGCGACACTGTCCACACCGTCGCTGCTACCGCTGTTCGTGGCTTGGGGATGGATCCAGGTGGAAGCCCATTTGTACAAGCTGCTGGTTTACGATTCAGGTGGGATGCACATATTCTCCATCTCCTCTTTTTCTTGGTACCCTTTGGTTTCTTCTTTGCGTTTTTTCTTGGCTAGTCTTGGGCTGTAAGTGTTTTCTCCGGGACATCTTTGGAAGCCTGATCTAGGCTCTCTTTCTTCACAAGGATTGTGCACACACACTCTATTTTACGTCCTTGTTTGATTTCTTGCAATCACTTAAATAGTTTCATGGCTGGTTTCTCTTTGCGTGGGTCTTTCTTATACTTCGTAGAAGGAAAATTTCGTTCAAAGCTTTACTGATCGATCTTTTATTGTTCTTTCACAAGATGGACACTTCAAGCTACACCGAGACACCGAGAAGGAGCCTGGCATGTTTGCCACCCTCATACTCCAGCTTCCTACGCGACATCAGCACGGCAACCTCACGAAAACTTTCGACTTTGACGTCCCGGGCTTCAACTACACCGCCTTCTTCGCCGACTGCGAGCATGAAGTGCAACCAGTGAGATGAGGAACCCGCGCTTGCCTGCATTTCAACCTGGTACGCAAGGCGAACGTTGGATCCAACGGAACTCTGTGTGAAGTTAGTGCGGCGGCTGTGCCACGGGTGAAGTCAGCTCTCGCACCTTGGATCCAGGATGCAAATTCATCGCCAGAGAAGCTGGTGTTTCCTCTCGAGCAGTACACGGAGACGAACCTTTACTTCTCTGGGTTTAAAGGACAAGACAGGATGGTGGTGGAGCTATACGTTTGCCTCATGGAACAGTCTAAAGTTTACTCGGATGACGAACTTCTCACCAGCTCTGTCTCTGCAAAGCGCTGGGTAGCCATCGACGACAAGGTCGTCAGGTTTAAGAACCTGCGCTTCAACCTCGAATCCGAGCCCCTGGGCGACTTCGAGCTTTTCAGCGATGATCCAAACAGCGAGTCTCACAACGGATATATGGGAAACTACGGTCCGGAGCATTACTACTGGTACTACAAAATAACTGCCTGTGTGTGTGAGGTGAGTACCAGATGATTGGAATAGCTTTGAGATTTGAGCATCATGGTTTCGTTGCCAGTATTTCTCCTGCAAAAGAAAAAAAAGAAAACTGTTAAGTTCAGAGCATAAGAAAGTGAAAACTTTCGATGGGATTCTCAGGAGCAAAGACACCACAAAGTATCGCAAAAATCAAATCAGGAAAGAACGAAAACAGCAAAGAAAAGACTGCCAAGAGTTGAAGCGTTCGAGAAGAAGAAAAGAAGGTAAAATGGAAGACATTAGAAGAAAGCGCAGACAAATCAATTAGATCTTGACACAAACCGTACCAGGACGTGGCTCGTTCCAGCGGCATTGACACAGCGCCTCAGATTTGGATCGCGAATCGGCAGCAGCGGCAGGGGCTGTCTCGCCATTCCATAAACCCTAGAAATACATTACAAAACAAAACACTCGACAGGCGACAAATGCGTGTTGACCATTTGCCTCGCAGCACATAGAGGGTCGTGCCTCCCAGCTCGCCAAAGCTGCCAATGTGATTGACACGTTAAGCATGATCCCATCGCTCACTCCCCCAAGATCGGCAATGGAGAAAATGCGTGGCCACGCCATCGGTAGCCCCCGGGGCCAGCCTGCTCTCCACGCTGTTGCATCCCTGGATAGCCGATGAGCAATCACTTAACAGGAATAGGGATGGCAATGCATTCTTTATGGTGGTTTCTTCGCTTGATGGTCAACACTTTGCATGCAACATGTGTCACAACACTTTCCTCTTCCTTAGCCACCTCCATATTCGCTGGGGCGAGGTCAAAAAAATAACCCCTTTATAATTAATTGGCTAGATCTCAGCAACTCTTCCTTATTGTATAATTAAATTTTAAAGATGCAAGTAACTTTCTAATCTAATTTAATTATAATTGAAAAATAAGTCGTCCATTGAGCTGGAGATGCTCCAACTCACTTACGATAACAGAATATTCTGGCAATCTTAGAAATTATTATAATAATAAATGGCATTTTCAACGCTAGTTTGGGTTTGTACCAAGTTTATATACCTGTCTTGGAACTCTCGCTCCAAAGAGATCTTTTACCAAATGGAGAGCCCAGAGCTAAAGGCTTCGTTTCTAAGCCGCTTGACATGGCACTGGATGGGAGCCATGATCTCCACAGGGAACAAGCGTCCCTTGGAGGTACTGTTAAATTCACCATTCTTGCCAAAATTTGTGTCTCTGTCTACTAGATGAGCGATTTGTATGAGCTTAATCAAGAGGATAAGGCAGAATCTTGCGAGCAAAGATGGAACGAATGCTACGAGAAAGAGGGGAGCAAAAGAGTGTTGCGAGTGATCTTGAGGTTCCTGGGAGTGAAGTTCTTCCTCTTGTTTATCTTGCGGCCTTTGTGGCTGGCAGCGCTCATCTTGCAGGTTTTTGAGCAGTAAGCTCTTGGGACCGTAACTTACACCGATCTCTCACAGGTTTATGTTATTAAGGAGCTCATTCATCGCTCCAGACTCAAGAGCTCCAGAACATGGAGTGATTTCCTCCTCGTTGCCGGACTGTTCTTCCTGGCACAATCCCAGAGCTTATGCAACATCTGGATGTTCTCCTATGGCTGGAGATATGGCGTTCGCTTGCGTGCTGCGTTTTCCATGGCTGCTTTCAACAAGGTCTTTGTGCATAATACTCTTTTGCTTCTTTGTTATATTAACTTTTTGTGATTTGTGAAGATGTTGAGCACAAGAACGGCTGAATTTAGTGGATCCTTGGATAGCTTGCTGTTTAATCTTGTCAACAGTGATACCCAAAAGCTGATTGATTGCTTGTGTCTACTTCCTTATGGTATGATATGTAGTTGCAATCGCTTTGCTCTAAACCATTGTGGGATTTGCAGTGGTTTGCTTTCCATTCCATTTGCTTGTTGTGAGTTTTTTCTTATGTCGAGAAGCAGGCATTGCCACACTTGCTGGAGTAGCTTGGACGGTCGTGGTGGGGATATTAATGGTAATAAGAATTCCTGATTCTTTTTCCAAATTGCTTACATCATTATTATATTAGTTCTATGTGGCGAAGTATATGGGGCACTTGGCAAGAAGAAAGCATTCTCACTCTGATGCTCGGGTGGGAATCCTTTGTGAAACTTTGGCTGGCATTAGAATTATCAAGTTCAATGGTTGGATTCCTTTGTTTATGAAAAAAATCAATAATGCTCGTGCTGGTGAAATGAAGTGGATTTCCAAGTTGGCTATGATCAGTACAATCATGTATATTTTGAAGGTATGTTTTAGTTTCTCAAGATTCTAATTATCATTCTCTAATATTGTCGCAGGATTCAATTGTTCCATTTGCATGCTTATTTGCTTTTGGTGCTTATATCTATCATCATAAAATGCTTGACGTGACAATAGCTTTTGTTGTCCTATCTTTCTTCAGTATTCTTGCAAGGGATAGCATATGTTTCGTTTATGGTATGGTTTCTATAAAACAAAACATCTCACTGAATGAAATTTTTGAAAGGTTTGCCACAAATTTCTAATGCACTAGTAGCTGTGGAGAGACTACAGAAGGTGTTGAACTTGCCAAATAGTTTGCAAACATCCAAGTCAAAGGTATGTGCTTAACTTTTTATATTTATTCTGAAGATTTTATTAATTAAGAATAATATATGTTTAGAAAACCTCAAACATTTTTGCTATTGAGCTTTTGGACTGTAATTTTGCTAGAAACATTTCCAAAGGTATTAATCCCAAGCCCATACACATGCAAATACAGAAGGGTATTCTTGCTGGCTTGATTGGTAAGGTGGGAAGTGGTAAGAGTTCTTTGCTATATGGAATTTTAGAAGAACTAAAGGTTGGTTAATTGATGTTGTTTTATAATTTTGGAAGGTAATAATTGACTTTACAGCTAACTCAAGGTTCATTATTTGTGGAAGGAAATATAGCTTATTCCCCACAACAGCCTTGGATATTAAATGATACAATGCGAAATAATATTGTCTTTGGCAGCATATTTGATAATAAACGCTATGATAATGTAGTGGCGGCTTGTGCACTTAATCATGACATTTCAATGCTACCTAATGGGAGTGACACTGAAATTGTAAGTTATATGTTATTTATATTCCTAACTTATATTCTGATTTAAAAAGGGGGAAAGAGGGGTAAATTTAAGTGGCGGACAAAAGGCTAGAGTATCTCTTGCTCGTGCATGTTATAGTACTGCTCCTATTATTCTTTTGGATGATCCTTTATCTGCTGTTGATGCTTCAACAGCTAAATACATCGTTGATTATGTACTAAATGGCATTTTAAAGGGAAGAACAGTAATTATGGCAACACATTCTATTATAAGCTTACAAGCTTGTGATGAAATTTATTTATTAGATACCAATAATGGTATTAAGCACATCTTATCAAGTTCTAAAGATATAAAACATGAGATGGAGTTGGTATCAGCTAAAACAGAATTAAATGCTAGTCAATATAGTAAGCTGGACAATTCAAAAGGAGGTATAGTGAAACAAGAGACGATGGAGAGTGGAAATATAAAACTCTCTCATTATTTAGAATATCTACACATAGCTGGTTGGTAAGTTTTTAAATTATTGATATGGATTTCTATCATATAAATGTACAGGTCAACTTTTTTAATAATTCCCATCTTTATTTTGGGGCAAGGAGCACTTCTGATGGTAGAATATTGGATTCGAGTTTGGACAGATAACAAGTATAATTTAGAAAAATACACTTATTTGATACTCTTTACATGCCTTGGTATATTTGCGATCATTATTTCTCTTTTGAAGTGTATTATTCTCAACCAAGCATATTTAACTTCTTCAAAGAATATGCATAAGTTAATGGTTGAAAAAGTGTTCCGTTCACCTCTTTTATTTTTTGACCAAGTAAGTACCTAGGTTCATAGCTAAACTAAAGGATAAATTTATATTCAGAATCCAATTGGAAGACTTCTAAATCGCTATAGTAAGGATCAAGCTATAGCAGATGAAACTTTACCATCACTAATCAAGGTTTGATTGCATTGTTAATATTTAAATTAACTAAAAATATATTTTATAGCAAGCACTCGAAGGCATTTATGCTTCTATTGGTGGACTAGTACTAATTGGAATTCTAGTACCATGGTTTTTGCTTACAATTCCACTTGCATTGGGCATACTTATTTATGTCAGACAACAATATATTTCTACAGGCAGTGCACTTAAAAGGTTGGATGCTATTTCTCAGTCACCAATATTTGCACATTTTACAGAAACACTACAGGTAAAATTGAGTATTTTTTATTTTAAAAATAATACTAACAATGTTTTATTCAAAAGGGAGCAGTTTCTATCAGAGCATATAATAATCAAAAACGGTTTCATGACCAGCTTGTTAAATTGGTGGACAACAATCATAAAGCTTATATTTTATACGTTCATGCATCAAGATGGCTCTCTACAAGATTGGACTTTGTAACTACATTATCTATCACAGTTGCAGCATTTCTTATTGTTCTTTTAAGGAATTATATTTCTCCTGGGCTCACAGGTAAAAGTATCAGCCTGATAGCTTTTTTTGAATATCAGGTCTACAACTGCTAATGCTTTGTTTAATAATCAGGTGTTATACTTGTACAAACCTTAAAGCTTACTGATGTCCTCCAGATTGCAATCAAACGGACAGTTGAAGCAGAAAGCTTGTTTGTAAGTGTGGAGAGAATTCTAGAATATTGTCATTTATCTACAGAGGCCACAAATAAATCTGAGCCAAGGATTCTTTCAAGCAATTGGCCTGCTGCGGGGTCTATTGAGTTTATCAACTACACATTAGCATACAGGGAAGATCTTCCAGCAGTTTTGAATAACATATCATTTAAGGTAATACTTATTATTGTGTAGTTTAAAATTAACTATTTTATCCAACAGATCTTCCCATTAGAAAAAATAGGAATTGTGGGAAGAACTGGTGCCGGAAAGTCAAGCTTGGCTGCAGCTATGTTCAGAATGGTTGAGAACATGGCTTGTAGTGGAACAATACTTGTGGATGATATTGACATCAAGACCATTGGACTGGATGATTTGAGACAAAGATTGTCAATAATCCCACAGGTAAGCTTTCAATATAATTCAAATGTCAATGCCTTAGAAGTGTTCACAATGAGCAGGATCCTGTTCTTTTTTCTGGCACATTAAGATTTAACATGGATCCATTTGGAAAGAACGATGATAGAGAAATTCATGAAGCACTGATAAGAGCGCATTTCTCCAGCACACAGTCGTATAAGAACTTTGACAACGGCTTAGATGGTCAGATTACAAGTTCTGGAACAAACTTTAGCGTTGGAGAAAGGCAGCTTCTTTGCCTTTCAAGAAGTTTGCTAAGAAAGTAAGATTGTATTGATTCTACTTCTCAACTGATCATAGCTTATTT